GGTTGTTAAATAAGCTTATTTTCCGAATTTTCCGGTAATTCTTACTATATCATAATAGTTTCATTAATTAATTCCCCATTAATTCATTATATTATTAAAATAAACGGAATTAGTAATTTTGCATCGAACTATACTGTATTTGTGTGTATACATTATTATAATCTGAAGAAAACTCATATTGTAATTAATTTAACCGAATACGGACCCTCAACTTTTGACTCGAAATAACGCCCAGGAATGTTACTTCACGCAAATACGGGCATGGACGAACACAAATTGAAGTTGAATAATTTTTTTTTTTTTTTAATTCGGTGCTTATCCAATAATATGTACGGATGACACCAAGGGAAGTCTAGAATTCGATCGTACAAAACTTATACGTAGAATCAAAGTCTTGGCGTCACCATGTGCTGGTTCATATTCACACACATGTTATAGTTCATGTTACAGTCGCGAATAATAGATCTTTTAGCAAATTTGTAATTATTGTTATTATATGTCGATACGCATTATGATATTATGCGTGTCAGATTACTTTTATTATTTTATCACTGATACTGATACATATCAGATATATATGTATGTATGTAATATGTATCGTTTCATTACTATTATTATTATTACTATTATTATTATTTCATTACTATTATTATTTCATTGCTATTATTATACGTATTAATTACTATATATATTATTATTATGATTATTGTGTTACTATTATTATACTACGTACGTAGGTATGTTATTTTACTGTGTACGTACTATTTTACTGTATTATTATTACGCATATACTTAATAATATACTTAATAATTTTATTTATACTATGAAATTTCAATCATGTAAGCCTTCTTTTATATAAAACGCCAACTTTCTGAAATTGGAACAGTGTAAATCAGTAAAAAGAATAACGCATTAACAAATAAGAGAATATCAATTCTAAAAGAGTTCAAACGATAAATAGGGAATGAGAAAAAAAAAATACTTTGGTATGTACGTCCTCACTTCGGTACGAACGTATATTCTCACTTCGACATTCAATGTTTCACCACATCATGACGTATGCTGTATATCATTAAGATCTAAGTTACACCTTCATATGATTAGACGATCTTTTTGTCTATTTCCCAAGGTCGGATGTAACCTCCCATTTTTGATTTTAATCATTAAACTTTTTCGGGTTTATGTAAGTACAAAGATTAAAAATTGTTTTTTTTTAATAATATACGTGTATCCTGAATATTTTACTACGATAATCTTCAATAAATGACATTTACTGGTCATTTTAAATCAAATGAAATATAATTCCTCAACTAGTCAAACTAATCAAACTAATCAAACTGATAAATGATAAACAAATGTGTTATTAATTATATAATTCAATATACTTAGTAACGGTAACAGTAACGGTAATGGTAATTCACATCACTATTCTAACACATTACCGATAGTAATGACTAATGTTATATTACTATTGTCTTTGTTCTCTTCAAGCGAACACGGCTTGTTTTGAAAAAAATCTTTGTAATATATTCGGCTTCGACCGGATCAATCAATCAATGGTGTAACGTTTATGTTTGTGTATTATCTGTTATTAAAACAATGCAATGCAATGCGAGGTATGATATGATCAATTTATTCTTTGCAAAAGATTTGAATGAATGTTCGAAACAACAGTTTCAAGAAAAGATATTCTTTGGTCAAAGTTATTCTGCAATGTTTTGCAGAAACATAATTTTTAAAATTCATTCGCAAATAAAGTTTAAAAAAAAAAACTCATTCGGATATTACCTCTTCTGAATAGTTCATCTGAATGTTCATCTGAATGGTTCAAACGATGAATGAAATACTACGATTTATTTTGGGTAAGTTTTTTTTTTTTTTATGTAAGCAAGTATATACCGTATTATGAATTACATACATGTTATACATGTTTCTGATTATGTTTCGTGTTAAAGGAGAAAGTTTATTATATAATATTTATCCTTTCATTTTTTGTTATTTGAAGTGATTGACTTCTTCTTACATACACAATTCACCAAATTGAGTATGTTTGAATGTTTCGAATATACACTATATTGAGTATATTGAGCATATTTTGAGCATACACGGTATTTGGCATATATTGAGCATATAGTCAACATACGTATAGTGAGTATGTACTGTATTTTAGCATATATTGAACTATAAAATTACCTCCTAAATTATCTCCTAAAATAGGTTATTAAACACTCCGTGAAAGTCCCGAATTTTAAAAGTCTCGAACTCTCAAGATTCTTCGGGAATGCTTTTGTTAGGCTTCCCGTTGTATGATTAGTACATTAATACATACATCCCTTAAGTGGTAATTTATATGCATTCTTTATTTTTACAAACATATAATTATAATTTGCATGATTTATGTCTCTTAGGTTTAGATTTGGGAATTAGGTGATTGATGTCGGAATACACATAAGCATTTACGTAAATATATTATTCATCAACACATATCTTAAACCTTTTCTCGTGATTGATGCATGTAAGAGTCTTTTCATTATTAACTGTAAAATGGCAAATTGATTTTTGCCCCCGTATTCTAATAATTTCAGTAATTCCAGTAATTCCAGTAATTCCAGTGTTCGTGGAATTAGTATTCTTTTAAGTACGTACGTATTCTTGATACGTACGTACGTACGTACGTACGTATAGATGATAATATTTCCAAAATAAGTATATTATAATATATTAAGCAAAATCAAACGCGTGATCAGGATCGCTGACCAATTCTTATATATATAGTATTGCTTTTTCCGAATATATTCTAAACTTTAAAAGACTCGATATTTTGAAAAACGCAATATCAGATATTGTAAGTATCGGTAGGTATACAGTATTTAACAGATCATAACTGAACGCGGTAATGGTAATCGCATTTCAAAATTTTCCGATCCTATGGCATTTATCATCGTTTTAACTATATTTGAGTGATGACAAATATACGTACGTACGTATCTCTTTTCGTATGTTCCTTTTTGATGTATAATTTTGTTATATAATTTTTTATATAATTTTTTTTTTTTATCATGACAGCACATGAAGTACAACTTAATCACTTGTTTTGATATTATAGAAATAAATTTACTATGAAATATATGAAATAACACGGCAAATATCTTGACCTTTTTTATTTGATATTATGAACAATAATGGTTTCAGAAACCATGAATACGGTATTTGACAGGTCTATCTTATGGTTGTGTAGGGATGTGTTTGAAAAAAAAGATAAACTTTCTTGCTTTGGTTTGTCATTCTATGAATTAAAAGTCTAAAAAAGAATTCCAAAATCATATTCGATTATTATTTTCTTTTTATTGTGATATAAATATATAAGTATAAATGTAGAATGAATAAATGAATTACAAATGAATTATTTATTTATTTATTTATTTAAAACTAAAATTTGTTCTAAAATTCAAAAATGGAGGTTTCGGGTGGTCCGTGTTACTTGATCTTTAAAAACAAGATACTTTTGTCAATTCCCACTATTTTTCATTGACGGTTCAATTTAAATAAAATATAACCAACCAACCATAATTTTCCACAATCATCATCAATGAGTTTTTCAACATATCCTTTTTGAACATATTTATATATAAAAAAATTTAATGTTACGTACGTACGTACAACATATTGAACCACAAAACACTGTATTAAAATTACGTTATTTGATCACCATTAATTTATATCTTAATTTATATAATTTATATACGCGTCAACCACAATTTCGTTATACCACACTGACTTAAATAACCATTTTGTTGACACATGCACTACACAACTCATTCTTTCAATAAAGTTCTAGAACCCTACGCCACAAACGATCTAGGCAAAGCTTAAATAATGTCATATCCCAATTTGGTATTCTGAATAAACGTATTTCCGTTTTTAATAAATAAAAGGACGTGATATTTTTGGATGTACATAACGTATGTACATATACGTTTTAAAGACTTTTTTTGTTTAATAAAAAACGAATCAAAATTCATAACACCATTTTTAGGTCAAAGCCAAAAAAAAACAAATAGAACTTTATAAAAAATTATACCTCACACGGTTCCATTGATTACGTACAAAATTTTTAGTCCGCTCTAGAACTAAAGTTTTAGAAAAAAAAAAAACTTTTTTTTTTTTATTCATCACCCCAAGTACGTAGTAATATTGTGCGTAGTACATAATCAATTTATTTTTGAACGTGACATAACACTACATTTTTTAATTTCATTTTCAACTAATCATAATTTTGTGTTAATGCACCTTTGAAGATATCTAAATTCCGAACCATAGGATATGATGATCGTTGAAATTAAATGATGATCTATTTGTTAATATTATTTAACGTTACTTTTACGTTACTTTTACGTTACTTTTACGTTACTTTTACGTTACTTTTACGTTACTTTTACGTATGTACGTACGTATAAGAAAAAAAAATAGCATTTTGCCGATTTTCAGTGATTAAAAAAACGTGTTAAACGAATTGATAAAAAAACATAATAACTGATAATATGTCACATTTACTGTACAGTAATATATAATAACTGCTTGAACATAGAACATGGTTGAATAAGATTGAATATATTTGAACATGGTTGAACAAGATTGAATATAATTTTAACATGGTTGAATATAGTTTTAACATGGTTGAATAAAAACAAAATTGAATATAGTTTTAACAAGTTGAATAAGAAACTTTGTATAAGAGACAAAAAAATTTAGTAACGAAATTTAGTAACGTTTGTATATGCTAGCATTTAACAATAGTAACAAATAAAATTTATAAGTCACCATTGTGTGAATGCTTATGTGATTGTTACATCTGATGGTGATGTCATAGAAGCATAAATTATATATACGACAGTGATGTAATTATACGACAGTAATATGTATCATATGCATAACGATAAGTTTCATTTTATTTTTATAATAAAAAATTCGAATTACAGGGGAGGACTCACATTTTTTTTTATTGATTTTCTGATGGATCCATGCCTTCATCATCATCCCAAACTTTTCCACCGGGATTTTCACCATAATCCAATCCTGCTTCATCTTGAAATTCTCGACCTACAAAATGTTGCAAATATTCCCAAGCAATTGCCTCTGATTGACTTAATGTTGGACAATCACTTTCTGGATCACGTGTAGATGTCGGTGATGGTGGTTCAATATCATCAAATTTTCTCTCTTCCATAGTGACATCATTAGTATCATTCAAATTATTAAATCCATAATTAAATCCATTATTAAATCCATTATTAAATCCATTATTAAATCCATTATTAAATCCATTATTAATTTCATTATTATTAATTATATCATTTTCATCATTTTCACTACCTTCATAATTTCGGTCATAATTTCGATCATAATTTCGATCATAATTTCGATCATAATTTCGATCATAATTTCGATCATAATTTCGATCATAATTTAGATCATAATTTCGGTCATAATTTCGGTCATAATTTCGGTCATAATTTCCTTCATAATTTCTTTCATCATTTCCTTCATAATTTCCACCACCTGGATCATCTTCAAAAGATTCATGACATGAATCAGTGAAAAAATCTGTTAATAAATATGATTCCTGACGATAAAGATTAAAGTTGCTGCTATCATAGTATAAAGAGTCTTGATTATTATTTAATGAAGAATCATTCAAAGATAAATTCCTAACAGGTTCAATTAAAGTTGAAGAAGGACTTTCAGGGATGGAGGATGGATAAAGGGACATTTTCTCAACAGGTTCGACAAGTGATTCCGCAGATTCATTATTTTCAATAATCAAAAGATCTTTTTGTAATGATGATAAAGATGATGAAGAAAAATCATCAATAACATTATCAATAATTGTAATGTTTTTATTACATTTTTCATCCTGAGAAATATCATTAAGATGATTTCGATTTCGATTTCGATTTTGATTCATTCGTTGAGCAATTCTTTGATAATTTATCGCATCAAGATCTGGAGTATCACCTGATATTTCTTGATCTTTCCATAATTCAGATTCTGTTGGTATTAATGAAGGAGCACATATTCCAACTTCAGAGTCCCAATAATAACCTGTGTTACCATCCGCATCTTGATAAAATAAGATACCTTCTCTAATACTTGTTGTATCAACTGCCTCATTATCCATTACTATTATTGTTATGTGGCGTGGTCTTTTGAATATCAGAAAATTTAATACGTAGTAGAATTCTGTAAACGTTAAAAACAGAGAAAGGTTTGAGAAAGGTTTATATTGATATGATTGATATGGTAAAGATAATTGTTAATGTGGGAAAAAAAAAGGATTTACGATTTTTTTTAACTAGGCTGCGGCGTATATTTATATGAATTTGGATGATCAGGTGATTAATTAATGACGTTTTAATTTATATATCGTTATATATCATATATAATTTATATTTAATAAATTTACTTCATTTTACTTTAATTTTATTTCATATTTAATTTTACTTTATATTATACAGGTATATCGATATCTGATACATATCAATTATTACGATATAGAAAATTAATAAAAAGTGGTAAAAAATAAAAAATAGTTGAATTACGATAAAAAAAAATATCTGGTGATTTAATAGTTATCTCACGAGATTTAATTATTTCACGAGAATTAATTATCTCACGAGATTTAATTATTTCACGAGATTTAATTATTTCACCAATCAAAATTATTTAAAAAAGTTTAAAAAAATCATTTAAAAAAAAAAAAATTATTTAAAATAATATTTAAAAATATTTAAAAAATAAAAATTTTTTTTTAAAATATTTTTTAAAAAAAAATTTGAATTGACATTTATGTCAGATTAAGAAAAAATCTGCACGAATCGGGTGATCCATCAACTTTCTACAAATACGTAAAGAACCTATAGCGGAAAGTATCGACCCGATTCTTTTTTATCAACTATAGAATTTAGGATATATTATTCGAACAATAAGTCACCTTTAAACTTTTTAAGTTGCATTTGATGTGTCGAAATTAGGAAATGAATTTCATAAAATTTACAAAGACAAATTAAAACTTGTACTATTTTAAAACTGGGGATTAAAAGAAAAATGTTGCAAATCATTATTCTTTAATTGTAACACTAACACTTAAAAAATCCCTTGAGATTTTAAGAATAGTATAATAAATAATAAATGATAATAACAATAATAACAATAATAACGACAATATTAATTAATAATCATGATAATTAAGTTATATATTGTCGTCTTATATGTTATTATATGGTGTTACAAAGAACGTTTCATTTTTTTATATATGTATTTATATATATATATGTATTGAATAAATTAATACGTTTGTACGTAGGTAAGATATTCTTGAATGATTAACGTTACGTTAACAAAATATTTTATTAACATTTCAGAAGATACCATTGGATAAAAGATAAAATACACAAGTTATAACTCAAGTTATAGCACAAGTTATACCACAAGTTATAACACAAGTTAATATGAGTTATATACGTATGTGAGGATCCGGAAAGAACCAAAAAGACAATGATCACATATGTTATAGAATCCCCTAGTTAGTAAATAATTTATACGAATCACAAAATGACTAAAAAAAGTATTGGATTTTGATTGTTAAGCAGGTAAAATGATCTTCGTGATAATCACAAGGCGAGACCTAGATCGTGTGTCCAGGCGATTCGAGATCCTATACATAACATGCACATGTGGCCGTTGGCGTATGAATAAATGCATAGAAAAACAAATAAATACTTGCATTCAGCCATCTAAGTTATTTGGTGTAATCGGATGAACCGTGTGACCAGATTTTTTATTGTAATAACCTATTAATGTTACGTTACCATATTAATGTTATTAATGTTAATGTAATTTTTTTTTGTTATTAAAAAAAAAAAAGAATATCAGATTCTATTTTGCATTGTTATTTTTGATTTTTGAAATTAGTAAAATTAAAGCATCGTGACTCGAATCGTACTGTACGTAAGCATCCCGTAAGCAGGAATAATGCTAGAATTTGGAAAATCCGTAAATCTTCAATAGCCAAAACAATTCATTCTTGAAACTATCTAGTTAGTGAGTTGGTCGTGATCATATGAATCTTAATAAATTCATTGAATACATTGAATACATACATTGAATACATACATTGAATACATTGAATACACATTGAATACACATTGAATACACATTGAATACATTGAATACACATTGAACACACATTGAATACATTGAATACATTGAATACATTGAAAATAGTTGACTAGATTGACGAGTCCTAAAAGAGAAGACTCTTTTTTAATTCCTTGTTTACAAGTGTAGTTACTCAAAGATTATTCCGTGCAAAGAAGAAAAAAAAAGCGGGTAGTAAACAAAAACCTGGTTCCAGATTGAGTTATTGTTATTGCAAAAGAAGTTCCAGATTGAGTTATTGTTATTACGAAAGGACTCACATTGGTTCAACAAATCAGTTAGAGCAAAGAATGGTTAATATTATCAAATGATAATGCATTAACACGATCCAGACTAGTGATAAGATAACATCATAAGATAATTGGGTTATCAGTAATAAAAGAATTTATACACTAATAAAAGAATTTATATTATTTATTTATAATTGTTGTCCTTTTGTGTGATCGTTTGCTGTCATTTATTCTTTCGTAAGACCAACCAAAGGATTCAAAAGAACGTGCATCTTATAGACAAATGATGTTGTTTACATAATCTTCCAATTACTAATAACATAGCAATAATCCCAATTATAAATAAACTATTCAAATGAATGCGTGCATACATTCACATACTTACATACTTTCCCGATTTCCGAAATGTCATTGCTTTCCTTCAATATAATGTGATGTCTCTTTAGCAAATGCATTTATCAACTGTATTTAGCAAATGCATTTAGCAATTTTATTTAGTAAATGTATTTAATGCGTTCTGCACCTCTCTATATTGTATAAACTTATGAATAAACGAAAAAGTGCGGTTTCGAATAACTTTATGTTCCCTGTTTTCTATATTCGGTGTCTTTTTGTCTTTTTTTCGTTATTATTATTATTATTATTAATTTCACCACCTTCATTAATGTGATTCCAAAAAAAATGTTTATATTAACCGTTAACGTTACTGTTACAATAATCAATATGATTAAGAATATTATAAAATATTATATAATGAAAAAACACGAATTTAAAAATCACAGATCAAGCCAAAATCACTTTTCAACTATTCATGTTTCGACAATCATCCCATATTATAGGTTGGATTATCCCATATTATAGGATTATAGGTTGGATTGGTAGTATTTAAACGAAAATACTTAAGCCATACTTGTTATGACATCAATGAAGTTTGGTGATCAAAAAAAATTATTAGTTGATGATTACCGAAGATTTGTCCAGTGAACTTGGAATTCAAATTTTTTGTGTCGCATCGAATATGTGTAAAAAAGTGTGAAATCACCTTTTATATAATATATAGTATAGTATATAATAATGTAGAATCGGCAAATAAATATCTCCGGGTGGGTTACAAATATATATATATATTATGTATGAAGATCGTTCCATCATGCCAGTGATGATATAGAAAATTGTTCTGGGCTTTCGACAGCCAAAATAAATAAAAATAAATAAAAAATAAATTCAAACAATTAATTATATTATGTAATTATTTTAGGTCAGCTATTTTATATTTGGTTCATAAATAATATATTATTATATATTAAAAAATAATTTATTCATTTTTACTAGCCTGAGTCGTTTCTATAAATATATAAGGTCTTTGACGGGAAAATGAAAAATATTTTAAAACAATTTTTTTTTTCGCAAAAAAAAAAAAAAGATAATCTACAGTGTATTATATATATATATTATACATTATTATAAAAAAAAGTAATTTCAAAAAATAATCGAATCTGTTTTATATAATAATAATATTAATAATAATAGAGTTTTATTTTCCTCGTCTATATCAAGTTTTTATTTCAAAATTATCAAATTAAAAAAAACTTTTTACCCACTTTACTATCAATTACTATCAATTACTATCAATTACCATCAATCACATTTTCTTTTAAATAATAATCGATCTGGAAACTCTTTTTTTTATACCAATTCTTTAAAACTAGATATGAATATCGTGAACTTGTTAAATTCTGTTGATGACGAGCAATACTCATCACCTTCATTTTCTGCTGAACATGATTATGACCCAGAAGTAGATGCTTACATGATTCTACGACTACTTAGTTGTCCGTCATGTGGATGCCTCTTTAGTGACCCTGTTACCCTTCCTTGTGGAAATACTTTTTGTAGCAGATGTCTATCAACTTCTACAAATAAGAGACTTGAATGTCCTGTAACGGGATGTAATCGTCTTCATGGAATAGATATAAGAACTGATGTATCTGTATCAAAATTAACTGAAATATGTCGTAGAGAATTAACTGATCTCATTCCACATGTTTCTCAACCACGACGACAATTACAATATCGATTAAATCATTTATATGATATTGTTGACGATGATGATTGCTCTTCCCGTGAAAATATTCCTCCTTTTTCTCTATCTGAATCTAATATTGTCGATGACTTTGTTAGTGATGGTTATAATAGCAACGATGACTGTATGAGTGAATATTTGGATGATGATGATGATGATGATGATGACGATTTCTCTCATTCTTTCGACTTATCTCATCTTAAAGAACTTTTATTAAAAGAATTAGAATGTCAAGTTTGTTATCAACTTTTTATGGATCCTATAACTACTCCTTGTGGTCATACTTATTGTAAATCTTGTTTGACTCGTTCTTTGGATCATAGTGATAGATGTCCATTATGTAGATATCAACTTCATAACTATAACTCGGTTTTAAACCAACCTATTAATAAGACCGTTAATATTTTTATATCTCAATTATATCCTGCTCTACTTGCCGATCGTAGACAATCGGCTCGTAATGAACTTTATGATGATACTCAAGATACTCCTATATTTGTTACTTCTCTAGTATTCCCAAAAATGCCTTGCTTTCTTCACATTTTCGAACCAAAATATAGGTTGATGATTAGGAGGTGTTTAGAATCTCGTCAAAGACAATTTGGCATGGTTCTAAAACGTGGTGATAGTTATGTAGAATATGGTACT